TTCTCAGAGGCGATGACATTGAGGCTCGAGCGCGTGCAGCCGAGCATACACGATACGTCGTCGAGGACCGAATCGGACTGCGTCTGGTCCTGGAAGAGCTTGACGTCGGTGTAGAACAGGTCACGCTTGGTGACGTGGATGTTCTTGAGGCAGAGCTGGTGGATCAGCTGTAGAATACGAGCTGTGACGGTGGCCTTGCGGACGGTGGAGACGTTGGCGTAGGGGCGGAGGGACGTTTTGTCTTTTAGCACAATGCGGTCGAGCTCCGGAACATAGAGCTGGTTAGCGGCGGCGCGTGAGGGGACCTCGAACGCAAAGCCGTTGCCGTCGAGGATGGATTTGATGACCTTGAGCATCTGGAGCTCGATCTCCGACTGGACGGACGGCAGGTCGAGGTCGCTGACCTCGCGGCAAGTGGAACCGACGGCGAGGTCGGCGAGGGTTATGGTTTTGGAAGAAGAGGATGAGGAGGCGGTGGCGGAGCGGAGGTTGTCGAGGGTTTGGAGGATGAGCGGGTCGGGTTTGAGGAGGCTCTTGAAGGGGTGATAGGTGTCGTCATCGGAGTTCGGGTCGGGTCGACGGCGTTTCTTCTTGTCCGCAACCGTTGTCGGAGTTTGGCGTTTTTTATTGTCCGCCATTTTTTGTTGTGATTTTGGGAAAGCGAGATAGGGTTGGTTGAAGGAGTGGGAAGCTGAGTATCTGGTGAAGCTTATGTCTGCAAACTGGAGGCCCGAAAGCCCAAATAAAAACCCGATCAAAGCTGAAAGAAAGCTGGGCCTAGTGCCCAATATGTTTTCTGGACCAGATTTGAAGTTTAGGTTTGGTTATTATTTTGATTATTTAAGGGCTTTACCATTTTCTTATTTTGGGGTTTAATTATTTTAAAAGAAAAGTTTTTTTCTTTCCTCTATTTTCCAAAATTTTCTTTCTTTCTTGGTCAATGTAGTCATGCATGCATGCCTCAGTTGGCCATCTTTACAAGAATAAAATGACATCTAAAATTATTTGATCGACATCCAATTCAATAAATAGAAAACATGTAATGCAACATCAACATGTTCATAACAATCCAATCGAAGATTGCCAAAGCAAAATGCAACAAATACAAAACAAAGAGGACACAAGGTTCTTCCAAATGTTAAACCATAATCTCTTTTCTCTCAACAGGGACTCTAAGCCACCCAAATGATCAGATTCAGGAGAGAAACTTTTACAAAGCCTAGGGAGACAAAGTGTGCCAAAAAAACTCAAAATCCCAGTGTTGAAGTTTGCTTGATCAGACTTTTGATAAAATTGTACCATAAAACTGAATCTCCCATTAATGACCCTATTTCCGAACAAAGCAACACGAAAACAAGCCAAGGGCTATGCATACCTTTCAGCTGCAGAGCCGTTAAAAGCTTTCCTCGCATGGCATCACCACCTTCCAAGGGTTGAGCTGATTGGGAAACTGCCACAAGTGGTTGAATATCTCCATCACCTTCCTACTCTGTTATTTTGGTTATATATAAAAAACAAAAAAATAATAAGAAAAAAAGGCTTGAAAAGAAATGCAACCTTGGAAGCTAAAATTTGGAGAAAGTTAGACAAAAACTCATCAGAAAATCCTCAAAATTATAAAAATTAATCTAATAGATGCAAAAGCAAAAGCAGAAGCTGTATAAAGAAAAAGTACAGACTCTAATCTAATAGATGCAACAAGGCTGGGGAAGAGTACAAGTATAATAATGCACTGACAATTGGGAAATGCTTGTACCTTATAATTACAATGAAATTAATTTTCCAGAAACATAGCTTCTTCAATCTGCACCGCATGATCAACTCCTGTCTCTCAACCAACTGATCAAAACCAACTTCGGTCAATGCTGCTTGTGGAAAGAAAAAATGATAGGCATTAGCAAACAGAATTAATATTCCTTGTAGAGATGGGTTTAGAAAGAAAAATGGTACCTTTAGAAGAGTGAATGTACTTGAGGTCAATAATTTTCACAACAACAATGCACACTACTTTCAACCATTTCTCATTTCGGGGATACACTTTTGAAGATTATTGAATTTGAGTTTTGGTTCCATCCAGGCTCACAAATCTCGAACGGCAGAAATTTAAACATAAATATGTTAGAAACTTACACACATCATTTGGTACCCTGAAACCTTGAATTTACATGTGGAGTTATAAATCATCCCTGAGTTCTATATGGTGTGTATGTATGTGTATATGGATGTATTGAATGTTGTAGAGAACACTTGAAAATTCAGAGTTTAATTTGTTTTGGTTTTCAACTTCCAAGTGAGAACAAGTCAAAGGGAAGGTAAACCAAAAATTTTAAAATGTACTAAACAAAATACAATCAAGTTAAAATGAACACTAAGTTACATAGGCCTTCTCTAATAGGCCCAGTAGTCCCACATGTAAGTTTGTCTAGTTGTGTTCGGGCTTAAGTCCCCAATTCACAAAAAGGAGGTTTTTTTAATTAAAAAAATAGTAAAGAGAAGAAAATAATTGATTTCAGAACCAAAGAAAACAAATAATAAAATTGAAAAACTTACCACAGATGTTTGGAATATGGGAAATTTTGGGCCATTCTGGGCCACTGTGTTTATTGCATCTCTCCGTCAGAAGAGGACAATTTATAATCTTTATCAGGCTTAATTTGGTGAGACATTTCATAGCTTCAAGTGGAGGTAGATACATCAGACTATTGCAAAACCATATTTCTAGGTAATCAAGAGATGCAAGATTTCCCAACCACTCTGGAAGAGCCTCCATGCCGTCAAAGGAAAATATTTTCAAACAAGTTAGAGAAGTAAAGTGTTGAACTTGTTGAGGCAAAGACCTGAGCTTCGGCCAACCCCACAGGATTAATCTTTCAAGTTGTGGAATAACCTGAAAAGCAGGGAAGAAATCGAGCTCCTTCCAGAACCCACCAATTTCCAATTCCTTTAAGCGGGTGAGGGATGCTGTAAACGCACTAGTAAGGGGTACACCTTTTAATCCATCACAGTTATAGATCTCCAACTGACGGAGTTGTGTGAGGCTGTCTAAACTTGGAATAGCTTCTAGATTCGGGCAATAGGTAATAGACAAGTGCTCAAGAGAGGTACAATGTTGTAACCCATTTGGTAGGCTTGATAATTCATCACAATTCGAAATCTCTAATTCGCAGAGGGATGGGAGGCCGTGTGTGATTGAAATGGATGTTATTTTGGAGCATTCGTCTATTATCAACCTTCGAAGAGAGGTGCAACATTCTAGCCCCTCAGGTAGAATACATAACTCAAGACACTTGAAAATAGGAAATTTGCAGAGAGATGCGTGACCCTGTGTAACTGGGATGCACTCCAGACTGTCACAATTCCTTATAATCAACTCCTTAAGGGAGAGCAGAGTGTGTAGCCCATCAGGCAAAGTCCTAAGATTAGGACACCATGAAATACTCAATGACTCGAGAGATGCACAACAACCAAATACATCCGCAGCAATACAAGTTAAATCTGGACAGCTCCTTATCTCCAAATATGAAAGATTTTTGTTCTTCTTTAACATCCCTTCCGGCAGAGAAGCAAGTTCCTCCATCTCCTTTATTGTGAGATGAGTAAGAGTGGTGAGCTGAGTGCTTATATTAGCTATCGGCATGCCGCTATCCATGGAATCTATTGTTAACTTTTGGAGACATGGAAAATGAGTGGGAGCACTTTTCAATTGATTACAATTCCTCAGGAACAGCTCCTCAAGGCGAGGAAATATTGCAGCTCCCGTCCATTCAATTAGGTTCTTTGCATTATCAATAGGAAATTTGCAGAGAGATGCGAGACCCTGTGTAACTGGGATGCACTCCAGACTTTTACAATCCCTTATAATCAACTCCTTAAGGGAGAGCAGAGTGTGTAGCCCATCAGGCAAAGTCCTAAGATTAGGACACCCATAAATTCTCAATGACTCGAGAGATGCACAACAACCAAATACATCCGCAGCAATACAAGTTAAATCTGGACAGCTCCTTATCGCCAAATATGAAAGCTTTTTGTTCTTCTTTAACATCCCTTCCGGCAGAGAAGCAAGTTCCTTCATCTCCTTTATTGTGAGATGAGAAAGAGTGGTGAGCTGAGTGCTTATGTTAGCTATCGGCATGCCGCTATCCATGGAATCTATTGTTAACTTTTGGAGACATGGAAAATGAGTGGGAGCACTTTTCAATTGATTACAATTCCTCAGGAACAGCTCCTCAAGGCGAGGAAATATTGCAGCTCCCGTCCATTCAATTAGGTTCTTTGCATTATCAATACTTAATATTTTCAAGGAAGAAAACAAATTTCCACTCGTCATCCATGATGGAAATTGATCACTGCTAAAGTTGCAAATCTTCAAAATTCCCAATTCAGAGTGCGGTGCAAGGCCTTCTAGGACATCCCTGTCGTTGTTTATGGCGCTTGACCTGCCTTCCCCCCATTCAAACTTTAGTTTGCGTATGTTTGTCTTCTCCGCTAACTTTGCCTTCTTTGCTTCTTCTATATCTCTCACATGCTCCAAATGATAAATAGATATTTTTCCTTTCAAATGCTTTAAGCCACCCAACTCCTCTATTCCACGGCCTTTCTCCTTACCCACAATAAAATAAGATAACGATCGGAGATTACTCAACCGGCCCATGCCAACTGGAAAGTCCATAGCATTCTTTTTAAAATAAATATGTCTCAAGTTGATCAAATTTTGCAGTTCCTTTGGACACTTTTCAAGATAGAAACTCTCTATTCTTAACGTCTGTAGGTTATAAAGCTTGCCAACAGATTGGGGGAGCCTTTCAACCATTGTTCCTGAAATATCTAAATACCTCAAATGTTTCAACTTTCCAATTGAAATTGGCAACTCATCAATATCAGCCTCCTCTAATTTTAAGACACGCAAACCTTTAAATCTCGGTAAGATGTTACCAAGAACTTCACCTTCCAGATTCTTGGTCCTCATTGAAGCAACTATAGCTATGGAAGCTCATATTTGAGGAAGCGATGCTGATGATGGTTGATTGATCAAACATTCACGAAATTGCACTTAGTTTTCTTAATCGATGCAATAATCGATGATGTAATCATGCAAATAAGACTTGCGAGGACCAATGAATTTGAGTTTTGGTTTCATCCAGGTTCACAAATCTCCAATATGTTAAGACCATATCTCATCGTCTAACTGCAGAGATTTTAAACATGAATATGTTACAAACTTACACACATAATTTGGTACCCTGGAACCTTGAATTTATATGTGGAATTATAAAACAAGATTATTTTTTATTTTTTATTTTTATAAATCATCCCCAGTTCACCAAAAGAAGATAAAAAATAGTTAAGAGAAGAAAATAATTAATTTCGGAACCAAAGAAAACAAATAAGAAAATAGAAAAACTTACATTCGATGTTTGGAATATGCGAAATCGCGGGCCATCCTGGGCCGCTGTCTTCGTTGCATCGTTCTTTTAGAAGAGGACAACGGTAATATCCTCTTTTTAACAGGTTGAAGCTCCGATCGTTGGATGAACAATTGCTTTAGATGCCTTTATCAAACATATTTAAGATATCAATCCAACCTTTTAAAAATATATGCAAATATTTGCCTTTCCTAGTGCTCGAACCTAAACCACCTTTCACGTTCCACTTACATCGACACACCAACACAACTTTGTTGATATTGTTTTGAAAAAATTATATTAATATAGCATAAAAATTCTAGATTTCTAAGTTTTTGTGTTGATTTTAGAGTTTCTTTTTTTAAGGAAGGGGTGTAACTTGAACTCTAACTGTCAAACTTTGTGTTGTAGTGTTATTTTCTAAAATTTATTTTTGTCTATTTAGTACATACTTAATGGTATTTTCTATTGGATTGAATTCTATATGATTATCTTTGCGATTATCATATTTTTATACAAACCGATCATCTAATCCAATCCAATCCAATGTACATTGGATTGGATTGGATCCTGACATCACATTGAATCGGATTGTAAAATATCAAATCCAATATAAAAATTGAATTGAATTGGATTGATAAAAAATTCATTGGTTTTGAACATGTACACCCCTAATAATAACAATATGCAATAAGCATTTAATGGCTATATTTATTTCAAAAAAATAAATAAAGGAATCGTCAAACGAGATATTAGCAATCTACTTTCGTAAGAGGCTTGTAAGTCAAGCAACTAAGAGTATTTACTCTTGCAATCGAGATATTAAGTTCAAATCCTCTCTCCCCCAATATCTCTAAAAAAACAAACAATCCACTCTCAAGAAAATTAACAAATAAATGTATAGTATTACGGGAAAAAAAAGGAAAATATAACTGTATCTATAAAAGCAGTACTATTTATACTATAATTCAGGGAAAAAAAAAACTTTTTCCCTACCAATAATGTGCAAAATGCCATGTATACCCTTTTCATCTTTAGTAAGTTCGATAATAATTTAATAAGATAAAAAAAAATAAGATAAATATAGTAAATGACAATACTTCTATCAGTCAGGGCAAGATTTTCTTTCTATCAGTCCGTGTGGTGGTGGTGGTGGTGGTGGTGGTGGTGGTGGTGGT